ACCTCCTTTCCAAGGAGCTCAACCCCTTTATTCAAATATGAAAAACCCAACCCAAGTTCAGGGTAACACTTACATTGTGAAAAAGAGTAATTATTAAATTGAACATATTTTTCAGTTTATTTAGAAATATTTTGACAATATCTTGTGTGAGAAACACTAATGTAGGTTCCTGGGAAATAAGGACAGGAGACCCAAAAATTAATAACACCAAATGTTCTGCCTGCAAGCACATTTGCTGCCTGGTAAGGAATGCAGATAGATAAGCATACGGGCCCACAAGGCATGACAATCCTAGAAGAGGAAAAGTGCTGTGGGCTCAGATTGCAACTGCTTGGCTAAAGGTTCCCAGTGAGAAGTTGAAATACAGTTGTGGGTCACTTACAGAAGAGACATTCTGAGAAATGTGTTATTAAGCCATCTCATGGTTGTGCAAACATCATCGAGTATGTTTCAACAAACCTTGATGGCATAACCTAGCATATACCTAGGCTCTATGGTATAGCCTATTATATTCTTAGGGAACCACTATTGTGGAGAGCAGTCAATCTAAAGACATGTAATTTAAACATGTGACCTGTAAACACATACAAATAGGAGCTTCCGTAAGCTACTGTAGCAGGGCTATTGAGAAACATTTACATACAAAAACAGTATCTGCCTGTTGTCAATAGTTGTCTTCCTATTGTTGTTAATGCCCAATATCCCAAGACCGGGCTAAAGGAAGTCACATGCATTTATCAAATTGTCCCCCCAAAAAAATGAAAAAATATATATGGCACCAGTCATTTTCACATCTTCAGACAATTTACATCCAAAACCATCTGGCTTTTCATTCTAATTTCTCCTCCCTTATTCTCTTTGCATTCCACTTCCTTCTTCCCCATTCCTTTGGCATCCTATTCTCCTCTTCCCCCATTTTCTACACTATAAAAAAATAAACCTGAGGCTAGTTCTGGTTGTAACTTCTCCATCAGAGAAGTTGTGCCCACCCAATCCTCACTTTTCTATACTTGTGTGTCTTTGTGTGTTTGTTATTGCATCTATTTCTAATCCATAGCCTTCCCCACTCAAAAGAACGTGTTCATGCCGAGCTAGTCCTGACACACTATCATATATGCTATCTGTCATTAACCAAACATCACTGTGCAGTGAATGACTGCTAGTTGCTGCTTTGAAATCCAGACCCAGAAACCTTTGCTCATTGGTTAAAGGATTTCTGAGGGTGTCTAAGAATTTCCAGATGTTCTAAGTGGAACATTTCTGGCAGAAGGAATATGGTCTATTTTTCTTCCTTTCTTTTTCTTTCTCTCTTTCTTTCTTTCTCTGTCTCTCTCTTTCTTTCTTTCTTTCTTTCTTTCTCTTTTTCTTTCTTTCTTTCTTTCTTTCTTTCTTTCTTTCTTTCTTTCTTTCTTTCTTTCTTTCTTGTAAATGTGTGCTTGCAGGAAACAGATAGAGGCAGGGACAATGAGAGGGAAAGTGAGAAGTCACTCCCCAGGGTGGACGGCCATGCTGCAATCCCTTTCCTGTCCTCTTCCTAGGACCTTGGGCACATATGCACACATGCCCAGCGTGAGTTTCAAGCCGCTGGGTCTGAGATTCAAACCGCAGTTGGCCATGTGGGAGTCCAGTGATGTAACTGCTATGCCATCTGCTGGCCCTGGAATGTGGCTTCTGAGATCTCAGAGCCTTGTAAAGAAACATAGAGGGCTCGTGTGGAGAACCCAAGCTGAGAAAACATGACCTTTAGATGCATGCAGAGCTTCATTAGCAATGACTGTGAGAGTATTTCCATACGAAATGCTACCTGCCTGTTGTTGTCCTTACTGCAGGGCAGTATGAGGCTAAAGGAAGCTATATGTGTTGATCAAATTTTGCCCCAAATAGATCAGAGAAATCACATGGCATCAGTCGTTTTCATATCTTCAAATGATTTACATCCAAAAGCAACTGACTTTGCATTCCATTTCCTCTTCCCCCATTTTCTGCCCTTTAAAAGAATAAACCTGGGACCAGTTCCAGGTCACAACTTCTCCACCAGAGAAGTGTCAGGCTCATCCAACCCTCGCTTTTCTATACTTGTGTGACTTTGTGTGTTTGTCATTGTGTTTATTTCTAATCCACAGCCTTCCCCACTCCAGAAAATGTGTGCAGCCCAGCAGGTTCTGGCAGTCTAACTTCTTACTCTCCACTAAGTCAATCCTAGGTGCCTGCTCTTTAGGTTCTTAAAGTCTTTTCTGAATCTAAGACTAAGACTTTGAAGAGTCTCTTAGAAGATTGATCCTCACAGCCTTAACTGATTTTGCAAGATGCACTGCAACATTGAGCTACTTCTAATCCACATGTGTCCTGCATGGACGACACCAACCAACCACAGGGTCTAAATTTAAAGCTGGGGTCCACTCAAAAGTCAAGGTGTTGGGCCAGCAGATGGCATGGTGGTTAAGGGAGCTGGATTCCATGACCATGGTTTAAGTCCCAAACCTGGAAGCTTGCTTTCTCACTTTCTCTCTCTCTCTCTCATTCTGTCCCTCTCTTGTCAAATTTAAAATAAAGAAATAAAGTTAAATTTAAATTAAAAAAAAAAATCAAGGTCTCTGTCACATGCAAGACTTCCTTAGTTTCTAAAGGACCTACACTGGCCTGCAAAACCCCAAATTAAACTGTTTCTTTTATATCACCTGTTACTTATGGCATCTGGTCATCAGTGTTGAGAACATTGTTCACTGCCCAGACTTTAAGAAGTTTGAAGACCTTTCATTGTATAAGACCTGAGAGCCTCAATACAAAAAAGGACAGTAGCCAGGCCATCCATGACAATAGAACTCTGACTCACAAACTCTACAGCAACCAGCCAGGAAAGCCAAACCACAACCTCTGCAGCAGTCGGCCTCAAACAGTCAGGACTTGGTTAGGACTGGCACTTCCCTATTTTTTCCTCCCACCTCTACATCCTCACTTTTTTCTAACTCAGAGCAAACTAGAGAAAGTTAAAAATGCTCCCCAAACCAAACACATAATGCCTCGCTTCCAGTCAGCCCACCTTCAGCTACCCCATGCCAGAAACCTCCAGTCACATTAGACCTGCACTGCCCTTTTTTCCACTATGAAGCTTTCCCACTCCCCTGTCTGCCTTTGAGTCTCTGTCATACCCAAGTGACAATGACTAACTTCCTTGGTATGTTCATTTCTGAGTAAGTACCTCTGCTCATATTTTAGAGGTCTTCGTTTATTTTCACAAATATCTACGAGCTCTTCTGACCAGTTCTTGTGCACCATAGGAGTTAATTCGGGCCAGGTAGATGCTGCAGTGCTAGAGACCGGGGGTGGGGGTGGGGTGGGTCTAGAATCTAAACCCCAGAGCTTCTAATGAGATCGGAAAGAATGGTTTGCACTGACCTGAACCAGCTGGTCAAGCATCACGTGCACTGTTTGAACACCAAGAATTCACACCGAGTTTTACTAAAAATAGATTCTTTCCAGTCCCACAAATCCAGAAAAGGGGAGGGGCAACATTTAGTGGAGAGAGAGAGAACTTTGTAGTCAAGCTGGGGGGTTTTTTTTGGTTGTTTTTTGTTTTTGTATTTTGGTCCTAAGAAACAAAAACCTTGTCTCGAGATAGCTTAAGAAGAAGAAATTTTAATTACAGTTAAAGGTAAGAAAATCCAGAAACAGGAATGAAAACTCTACTAGCTTCCTAGCCTTGGAAGTCACATTAAGGAAGAAGGCCCTTAGCTCTGAAAGTTACAGCTTAAAGTTCTCTCATCTGTATCTTCTCTGTTTTTCTCTTTTTTTTTTCTTTTCTTTTTTTTTAAAGAGGTTTTTGCTATAGGGTGCTTGCCAGAAAAACAGAGAGAGACAGAGAGAAAGTGAGAAATCACTCCCTAGGGGAGATGTCCACACCGCAGCCTTCTCCTCTATTCTCCTCTTGGCATCTTGGGCATGCACGCACACGCACCCAGCGTGAGTTTAAGTCACCAGGTCTGGGACTCGAACTGCAGTCGACTATGTGGGAGTCCAGTGACATAGCCATTATGCTAACTACTGGTCCCTCTTCTTTGTGTTTCTCTACACATCAACTCAATTCTCTCTGATGGGCAGACTGTTTTCCTCTAACTATTCATCAGTGCTTGACCACGGCCTCCAAAATAATTACTCAAACCTCCAAGCCAACTTGAGCTTCCAGAGGAAGCATCATCATGGTTTGGCATAATTTCTACATCACTTCATTCAAATTCTCAAAAAAGAGATATTTTTTTGCACAGTTAATTTGTCCCAACCAAGTCTTGTAGATTATAGATCATTGACCAGACGATAGACTATGCCTTCAGTCAGATTATCCAACCATGGCTCAATCATTGAAGGGCCATGTCTTACAAAAAGAAACGAGCATATTAGGTATAATAGCATGTTCTACTACAGAAAGCAATATTATCAGACAACATGGGCTATACAGACCCACCACACTGATTACAAATGTTCACAATTCAAAACGTGGATTACAAGATATGAGAACAGAGGAAAACAAAAGTTGTTCCTAAAAAGATTCCTAGAGAGGAAGAAAAAAAGAGGATCCATGAAGAGGAATGCCAGAGGGACTGCTGATAGAACAGTTGTGTGCAGTTTCCATTAGTTACTGAGACCAAACATGTTGGATTCTAACAGGTACAGGCTGCATGACCCTTCTGCAATTTTTATAATATACAGTTTAGGTGGGATTTAGATATCCTCAAGTTCAGCCCGGTCAAACGTCAGACAAGGGCACTAAAAGCCAGAGTGCTTTTAGTGCCTGTGTCACTGACAGTGACACAGCTGTGGCAACAGACATATTTAGTACTAAAGCCAGACTCATATTCTCATCTCCAAGCTCAGTCTTCTATCCACTATCCACTATTTAGAGTTTCTTAACTAGCTCTCTCTTTTGCTAAGGCAACTCTTCTCCTCATACTAAGACTTTACACAATGGGTCTGTGTGCTGAAAAGGAAGAGGGAGTATTCCCTCCTTAATGGCCTTCATTGGAGGGCAGTCTGTTCCTCAGCACCATCCTCATCCTCTTCTCTAAAACTCTTCGGAGCCCAACCCACACATCTCGGAGGACCCCCAGCACCATGTCATTTCTCAGAGTATATATAAACGGGTTGAGGAATGGAGTCACCACACTGCTCAGTACTGAAGGGATCTTATTGACCTCCAGATATTCTTTCTGGGAGGGAGTCACGTAGATAAATACAGTGATGCCACTAGAAATGATGACAATGGTCAGGTGGGAGGCACAGGTATTGAAGGCCTTCTTCCTGCCACTTGCAGAAGGGATGCGCACTATTGTTAAGATGATGTATGTATAGGAGTAGGCCACAAGGACTATGCAGCACAGGATGACCATGGATGAAAGCATAAAATCCATCAGCTCAATGGTACTGGTGTCTGCACAGGCCAAGGCCAGCAGGGGGCCACTATCACAGAAGAAATGGTTAATGATATTCGAGCCACAGAAGGGCAGCTGGGAGATGAGGATAGTTGGAAAGAGCACAGATAAGAAGCCTCCCACCCAAGAGAACACAACAGTCCCAATGCAGACAGGAGGTCTCATGATGGTAGTGTACCGCAGGGGGTAGCAGATGGCAGCGTAGCGATCATACGACATGACCGTTAGCAGTAGAAACTCTACTGTGCCCAGGAAGAAGTAGAAGTAGCACTGGGTGATACACCCAGCAAAGGAGATGGTTTTATCCCCAGATCCTAAGTTGGCCAACACTTTTGGAGAAATGACTGAGGTGAAGAGGATATCTAGGATGGAGAGGTTACACAGGAAGAAGTACATGGGGGTGTGAAGGCGAGAGTAAGACAGCACAATGGAGATGATGAGCAGGTTCCCCAGGAGAGTCAACAGGAATGTGGGCAGCAGCAGTACCAGGAACAGCAACTCCACTTCTCTGCTGAGGGGAAATCCCAGCAAAATGAACTCAGTCACCATGGCAGTCTGATTCTCCATGGGCCCAGTGGTCCTGGCTCAGTTCCTCTAATGAAACACAGGCAGGCAGTACTCAGGAGAGTATTTGGTATCCGAAACCCCCTGGCTGTTCCCTGGCAAAACATGAACATACAATAGAATATGGTTAATCCAAATTAAATGGAACTCCAAATTTAACTTCATTTTAAATATTTGCCTATTCAACTGGATAGTATTTATTGTTATTATTATTGTTGTTATTAAAATTTTTATTTGCCAAAAGGCATGCACACTCACCAGAGTGAGAGAGAGGAAGAGCAAGAAAGCATTCCCCAGTGCAGCATGGTCTTGCCACAATCCCTTTTCCTCCATTTCTCTACCCCATCAGGATTTTTGGACACACACACACGTCCAACATGTTTTTCAAGCAGCCAAGGTCAGGATTCCAACCTCCACGAGCCCTTTATCATCTGGCTACCTTTTTTTTTTTTTTTTTTTTAGGTTTTTCTTAT